TAACCTTGAGATTTAAAATTGGTAATTTCTAGTTTATAGGCTGAGTGATATTTATATTTCTCTTTTCTTTGGTGTATGTGTGCGGGAGTTGATAGCATTTAGGACATAAATAAGTCAACTCTCATCCCTAGCATTCCTGAATTCTAATGCAACCTCAACTCCCATCAATGGAAATACGATCATTCTCCATTCACTGCATATTGCAAAAGCAATAAAGCTTCTTTATTGACACTTTCCTCTTCAATTTTGAATGGGGACATGCATGGGGGTGGCCCAGTTCATTGGCAGTTTGGCACTAGGGATGTTAACGGGGTTCCGCGGGGTCAGGGACCCCCTCCCCATCCTTGTCCCCACGAATCACAGGGATGGGGTTCCCCGCAGGGATTTTTGACAGGGGGCAGATTTTGCCCCCCGTCCCCGTTTCTCATAGGGAACGGGGATACCCATACCACCAATTAATATTAGATGGCTCCGACAGCAATAGCAAATGGCTCTGGCAGTAGCAATAACAGAGTAGATGGATCCGGTGGCAGCAGAGCAGATGCATCCAACAACAACAGAGCAGATGGCTTTGGCAGCAGCAGAAGAGTGGATTTAGTAGTAGGCTTCGGCAGTAGCAGCAGCAGAGCAGATGGATCCGGCAACAACAGAGTAGATGGCTTCAACAGCAGTAGAGGAGATGGATTCGATAGTAGGCTTCGGTAGCGACGGAAGTAGAGCAGATGGATCCAGCAACAACAAAGTAGATGGCTTCAGCAGCAGTAGAGGAGATGGATTCGACAGTAGGCTTCGGTAGCGATGGCAGCAGAGCAGATGGATCCGGCAACAGCAAAGTAGATGGCTTCAGCCGCAGCAAAGGAGATGGATTCGGCAGCAAGCTTCGGTAGCAATAGCAGCAAAGCAGATGTCTTCAACAACAACAGCAACATAGCAGATGGATCCGGCAACAGCAGAGTAGATGGCTTCAGCAGCAGCAGAGGAGATGGATTCGACAGCAAGCTTTGACAACAGAGGAAACTGAAGGTGAGATGGATGTGAGAGATGGGTGAGCTGCAGACAAAGAGATTGAGAGTGAGACTGTGAGTGATGAGAATTAAAATAAATTAGGGTTAGGGTTAGGGTTAAATGTAGGGGAATGGGTTGGGTTGGAAGTTGGGTTGGGTTGGATAGTATTGGGTTAAGTTTAATTGTAATTGGATTGGATTTGGGTTTGGGATTGGATTTGGGTTTGGGTTTGAATTTAAATAACAAATTAATTTTAAAATAAAAACTTTTTTTTTTTTTTTGCAGGGATGGGGATCCCCGCGGGGCAGGGAAAATTCCTTATGAAATTTTGTGGGGAGAAAATGGTACTCGTCCTCTCCCCACGGGGAGGAATATTCCTCCCCGCCCCATCCCCATGGTGGGGATCCCCGCAAGGCCCCTTGGGGAACGAAGAGAATTGCCATCCCTATTTGGCACCTACCACTACCTAGGATTCTGCTTTTCAGACACAAACCATAAAGCCAAAATAAAAGCATCCAAACTATTGCCTAACTATTCACACACACAAAAAAGAAGAAGAAGAAGAAGAAAGAAAAACGAAAAAAGAAGAAAGAAAAAAGAAAAGAGAAAAAGAAATTAGTAGTTGTTAATATCGTATCGGTATGCGTGTCGATTTTGTTTCTA